CAGGAAGCTGAGGCAGGAGGATTGCTACAGGTTTGAGTCTAGCCTGGGCTACAAAGTGAGACCCTGTCTCAAAAAGACAAAAGGAAAAAAAAAAAAGAAAGAAAAAGATATTTTTCCCTTAAATCTGGAAAAATCTCAGGGATATTCACTGTGATAACACTCCTTAGCCACGATGTGGTCCCATCTTTTCAGGTTCTGCAAGATCTGTTTCTCTCATATTTGATATTCCCTATTGCAGAAGTACTGAGCTGGTATGTAGTTAGTTGAATATTATAGTGGTTATTATTATTTTTGAAATTGTCAAACCTTGTATACTTTGATCAAATTGCAGGTTTTTGACTCCACTGCTAACAAAGATAAGCTGCTTCGCCTGAAATTAGGATCAGGAAAAGTTATCAAGGTAAAAATCTGTGTTTTAGAATTAGATCAAATTTGTATCATTTCTGACTTGGGCATAACTTATGAGAGTTTGAAAATGTTTTGTTGAAAGGGAAGAGGGCAGGAATATGTTACCTTATTACTACTTGAGAGATTTGAAGTCTAGGTCTCTGTATTGAAGATAGGTATTTGTTTTTTATAATCCTCTTTTTTATCCTGTGACTCTTGTGGACAATTGCCTATCTTTCCTATTGCCTAACAGGAAAAAAGGTAAAATTCTTTTGGAATTGTGTGTTACTTGGGTTTGTGATGTGAATTTTGTTTTTTCTAATTGTGTCTGTTTCATAAGATAGAATATTTTATGTATGTGTAGTTTCGTCAGGTCAGGACATCAATGCATTGTGCCACATTCAGCCATCTGTGTAACTAAAAGCTTTTCCACATTGCTTTATGGCTGCTTCTCTTAGAATGTTTTAGAGATATTTTCCTTGTAATCATAGCAGTTAAAGTATGGTTTTTAACGCTAGGCAGATCTCATGTTTAATCTTGGTTTAATGATTTACTAAATACATGATCTTGGGCTAGGTATTTAACTTAACCTCCACTTTTCTTATTTATCAAAGTTACCTCCAAACTCAGTTTTATTATTTGTAAAACAATTTCATCAACTTTTTGAGATTATTGGGATTAAACAAGACAATGCATATAAAATATTTAACCATGGTGTCTGGAGAAACATGCTTAATAAATGATAGCCTTTATTGTTTTCTTATTGCTATTTAATTGCTCTCATTTTCTCTCAACATCTAAGATAAATATATTTTACCCAACCCTAGATATGTCTTCTTTTACCAGTAGATTTTAAAGTGAAAGTCTTGGTTGGTTGTTTACTTGGTTGATTGGTTGATTGATTGATTGATTGATTTTTTTGTTTTGTTTTTTAGGGTCTCTCTATGTAGTTTTAGGCTGGTCATAAACTTACTATATAGCCAAGGCTTGTCTAGAACTTGTTGCAGTCCTCCTGCCTCAGCCACCCAAGTGCTAGGATTTCAGGTGTGGTTCACCACTGGCTTACTCATAATTAGTATGGGTAATAGTTGAACTTGAGCTGTGGAGGAAATTCCTAAACCTGAAAGTAGATAAGTGAAACTCAGTGTTCTACTTGTTTTATGAGGTGTTTCTTTTCTGATGAGGTTTTCTTCATCTCTAATTCTAAAGGCCTGGGAGGATGGAATGCTGGGCATGAAGAAAGGAGGAAAGCGGTTGCTCATTGTCCCTCCAGCCTGTACAGCTGGCTCTGAAGGCTTAGTAGGCTGGACTCAATCAACGGACTCTATCCTGGTGTTCGAGGTGGAAGTTAAGCGGGTGAGTGATGCTTTTGTATATGCTTATGAGTCCTCCAGGTGTCTCCTGGCTAGTTAAATGAATAACTAAATGTGCTTGAAAACCCAGTGCTGAAACCATACTTTTTATTTGATTTATTTTTTTATTTTAGACAATTTTTGTTATATTTAAGTTTGTAAATAATTTTTTACAATGTGCAGTCTGTTATTAATCTTATATTATGTATTCATTTCAGAAATATTTTTGTAAAATTCACTCTGTCTACATCTTTCACATTTCAATATTTGTCTGCAATTTTCAATTTGCTATGTAATTATTGATTTTCAGTAAAATTTATTTTTTTACTATCATTTTCTGTTTATTGTATGAATAGCAATCCAGTATATCCTTAAATTTTCAATGAGAAGACATTTAATAATTAAATGTCTCATAATTCTACATTTTTATCAATTTTATTGAGAAACAGCAATGAGACAAGTTTCAAAACTGATCAATAGGACCGTTTCAATAATTAATACATTGCATATTGTTATCTTCTTAGTGGTTATTCATAGTACAAGAAGCACACATGATATCCTGTTCAAACACTATTAGTACAAATCTTTCTTCTCATTGAATTAAGAGAAAGTAGCTGTATATTCTATTTTGTATATACAGATTCAAAATGTTCCTTCCTTTGTATCCCCTTTTTTTGTTTAGTTTTGTTAGAAATGGCTATTCCATTGCCATTTAAGTATTGTAGGTGTGTGAATTCAGCAAAATAATCCAATATAGTTCAGTAG